TACACATATGTTGTGTGATAAGCATGACTATTTCCAGAATTACCCCCCCCCCCCACCTTGAACTTATTTATGGAATTTATGTAAACAAATGTTCTTAGTTTCATAGTTTTGTCTTCCATACCAACTTATCTCAGCCTCTTGATATTTGGTATACAGTATGACGTGGTCCCATACCGTCGGATTTGATTTCAGCTCTGTCGCTCACCACGCCCTGTTTACCGTTAAATTTTCAACATTAATGGTCAATGGTAAGAAATTTTTGTAACAGTTTTTTTAGCAACTTCTTATCACAGGCTCTTGATATTTGACAAACAGCATTGACACATGGTCTCATACTGTGGGATTCGATTTCAAGTCTTTCACTCATCCACTTCCTGTTAACTGACTTAGTTAAATTTTCCACATTAATGGTCAGTGGTAAATTTTTTTCGAAACATTACAGCATCATGATATTTGGTATAGAAATGCAACCCGACATTCCTTTATTAGAAATTGTTTTTTTTTATATAACCAGGCACAAGTGACAAGATAATATTTATTTATATGCTATTATCATTGTGGACACAAACTGTAAACAAAGGTATCATTTTTGATTCTAGTCAAAGTAAAAACAAACAGTGATTGCACTAGAGTTATATCAGAAAGTTTTGTGGGAGCTTTACATGCTCATAACATTTCTATCTTTGTCAGAGAAATATTTGATTTCTGAGAACTATTTTGACTTCAATTTCCGAAGAAACATGAAACTACACCCCAAATTTAAATGTTTAATAACTTTTACATTTGTTTGACTTAACTGTTTCTTATGGTCAATAGTGTTACATGTATACAATTTTTTATGTTCATTTTACTTTGCTTGTTTTTCTATCATTTCAATCCATTGTCTTAATCATTATATAACTTGATTATACCTTAATTATGTAACATTGTTTTTAGATTTACATTGTATTTGCAATTTTGTGAATTTTTATCAGTAAGTAATATTCTTAATAAAAGAAATTTCACAATTGATATGAAGTACCAAGCCATTTATAGAGTGTGTTTCCGATTTATGAAAATGTTTTTAACAAATGACTTAAAATTGAGCAATCACCATACTTTCTAGCATAAGAATCTTAAAATAAAATTACTTAAATTGCAAGCAAGTTGCAATTTTATACATGAGATAAACTTATCGTGACCAAATTTGTTTTTCATGTTAGCAAGTTCTGTATATATGCTTTAATTAGAAAAGAACACTGATTATGTATGAAGTAACTGAAATATTGAAAGCTTTATAATAGAATGTTTGTCATGCAACATTAAATTGTGTAAGATTCAGACTATTAGATAAGGCGATGTACTTATTAATGCTGTTATAATTACATGTATTATTATTGTGAGTAAAAAGGTTCTGAAAATATTTCTATCATGTTTTAACCAGGGGCATAGATAATATACATTGTTTACTTTTTTTATCAATATTGCAATTGGTTTTAAAGCTGTGTTTTCTTAAATATGGATATTATTGAATCATCCTTGACATCAGTATTCTCATTTTTTTAGCTCACATTAGCAAAAGGTCAGCTATTACAGACAGTCAAAGATTCCTGGTCTGTCCGTCTTCCATATTTCAATAATGTCATATTAAACTACTCAGTTTGAAAACGTCAAAAATTCTCGTTTACTGTGTGCAAAAACGCTTTAAATTAATTTGGTATTTTGCATGATAAGGTCACAGTAGGTAAAAAAAGATTAGATATTACAACCATCCTTTTCTCTTATTGTGCCATTTTGCTTGTTTTGCATTATTAAAGCCATTTCCTCATGCTCCCATTCCATTTGTAATGTTTCTTTGCAAAAAAGTAAATAACAGAATTTTAAAATTTATTTTTGACAGTTACAGGCTATTACGCAAACTATTAAAAGTACTATTTTGTATTTTTTTTAATCTCAGAAATTTTTAAAATTAAAGTATTTTACAAAAATACCTATATTTTCTTCTTAAATTTCATGAAATTAACATGTTCCAAGTTTCACTTTTCATCATGTGAAAAACTGAAATGCTTTAGCTAGGTAATCTGTCTGTCATTACATTTGAAGCTTATGTAGCAATATAGTATTCTAGGTATTGTTACTATATATATATATATATTCATTATAACATAATTCTCTCATCATGTTAAGGATCTAGTCATGAATGTACTGCATGCATTCATATTATGGATGTATATTTTATTGTACCACTTAGATAATGTAATAAAGTTGTTCTCATTTAGTTTATTCTTACTTCTTTCCCTCTTTCAATGTAAATAAACAACCAGTGTTAATGTCTCTATCAGATTAATAATCTGTAATTCAGTGGCCCATATTCCTTTATTCTTTACAATTGCAACGTTTTTAGTAAGACACATATGCATTTATAATGCGCAGCGAATACATCAGTGCTTTCAGCGCTTTGATTCTAAAGTGCTAACCAAGTCTGCTTTACAAGTGCTTGAGTAAGAAAGAGTGTTATCATCCGCATAATTATACAGTTGACTTTTATTTATGAAAAAGAAAATGTCGTTTATAAAAATATTAAACAAAATCGGTCCAAGTATTGAGCCTTGTGGGACGCCTTTAATTATGTTTTGATAATCACTACATATATTTCCTATCTTAACACATTGTTGCCTATTAGACAGATAACTTTTAATAAGATTGAGTGATTGTTCAGACATACCATAAAATTTCATTTTAAGTAATAATAAATCATGAGGCAAGCAGTCGAAGGCTTTTGAGAGATCCATTAGGATAGCTGCCAGATACTGGTTTTTATCCAAGAAATACTTCCAGTCTTTAACAATTTTTAAAAGAGCTGTATTGCAACCATAACCAGGTCTAAAAGCACTAAGAAAGGGATTAAAAATGTTATCAAAATGTGACATCAATTGTTCATAAATGGCTCTCTCAAAAACCTTAGACATTACAGGTAAAAGACTGACTGGTCTGTAATTGCTCTTGTCTAAAATACTATTTTTCTTATGAATGGGTACAACTTGAGCTTTTTTCATATTATCTGGAAATAACGATACTTGTATGCATCTATTTATCATATCTGTTAGTGGTTGGGTAATAACAGGAGAGGCAATTTTTAACATTTTAACTGAAATACTATCATAGCCTGTAGCCTTTTTGATACTCATATTTCCTATTTGTTTTTTGACAAAATTTTCAGAAACAGGTTTAAAAACTAGTTCATCAGATATATTAGATGTTTCCTTGATTTTACTTACACTTACATGACTATCATTACAAGGTACATTGCTATCACCAATATTTTTTGCAACATAGTATACTAGTCAGTGTGTACTGTACAGCATTGAAACTTGTACTTTTTGTGGGTTTGGAACTTTCTTCAACGGAGACACACTGTGCAAGAAGCCAACAACGTCTTCCTGCCTTTTCTTCTTTTTTCCTGTTTTTTTCTTTCTTTTTGGTGTGGACGCCATGTTCAGTTGTTGTTGTTTTTGTTTTTCTTTTCGAACTTTGTGACGTATGGCGGGAAAACCGAAGAACAGTGAAATATATAATTCCCAACATTGACTTCTCTATATTTTGATTTTGAAAAATATACAATCCAAATCAAATTATTTATCTTAGAACAAAGGTTTTTGGATAATATTAATTCGATCTCTTTTACACAAATTACTCCGCTCGGGTTAGGTTAGGTTTAATAGTACTAATTTAGTTCTGTCTTATTTTGATGTAGGATGAACGGTAGTAAATTAAATTTGCTATAATATTTATCAAAATATACATAAAATTCATAAATTTCTGACACTTGCAGAACCTAGTCAGGCCCATTTAAAAAAAGAATTACTACCCATGTTTTGAAATGACACATAAATAAAATAGAGAAATACAGAATCCCTAAAGAAAGCACAACACGACAAAATTGAAACCACCCAAAATCACATAGAAAAGGGCTAGGTAGTGCATATATACAATGAGATTAATGAGTAGAGTTTGTTATAAAAGGAAACACTTTGCACAGTAGCAACAAATGCAATATAAATGTAAAAAATACTTTTACAATAACAAACTAGATCTATTCATAAGACATTGTAACATGTATATAATCATCTGGGCGTGAGTCCATTGCTTTTCCTTAGATAGGCTAGATAGGCGTTGATGTGCAAAGATTTTGGATTCACACAGAGAAAATAGGCGTTGATGTGCAAAGATTTTAGATTCACACAGAGAAATACAATTTTATTATCAGACGGTGACCAATATGTTTCACAAGTTCCCTCTGCACTTCCATGCGGCAAATCAAAATTACAAAAGAGGGACACGATGGCCCTGAGACCATCATCTGACTGGAAGAAGGTAATCAGATGAAGGTCAAAGTTTATACTACGGCATGACATACCTTTTAATCTTGGGATGGGGGATTTTTAAAGATCGAAGAACTGGTAAGCTTTATAAAGGTTGTTTTCTGGGTTAGCACTGCGGATTTTATTTTATAGAGATTCTTTCAGAACAGCAGTAGACAATCTTGTGATCTGACCAGTAAGTTTCTACTGTACCCACAGTGGCATCAATATTTGTTATTAACAAGTCTAATGCTGATAAATCATCAATTGTAGGATCTTTAGATTGAGGGGAGAGATAAAGGATAAAATGCGTCATGCAACAATTTACATCTGTTTCTTTTTCTTCTTTTTTTTGGGGGGGGGATAAATTTGAGTTCTTCTTAAAATGTACACGCAGTTTAAATTGACAACGTTTCAAGAAGTTAAGAAAAAAATGTCAATTGAATGACCGTTCTACTCATGTTTACTTCACAATATCTGTCCACGTTCCCATTTATTTTCTGTGCAGTCCTTTAAATATCTCTGTAATAATTACACTGATTTCATTGTTTTAATGTTACGTAATGTGAACAGCGATTTTTTTATTCGACTTGTAATACATAGTGTATCAAAGTGTACATTTTTTCAAGGAAAAAAAAAGAAGAAACAGTCAAATATATTGTGTATTTTTTATTTGAAAGAGACGACCGTACTGCATGACGTTAATATATACTAGTAGATAGTATTAGATAGTAGAGCAACTACCTAGTTAACAGTTCTACTTGACAAATAGATATACTCACGGCTGTAATTAAAGCCGTGATAAACTGTATTATAAATGTTTTTATGACAAAATTTTCTTCCAAATAATAAATCATTGTATTTAAAGAATGAAAGTCTCGAAAATTAAAATTCTAACAGTGTCTATTTCGGATTATATAGCAAGTTAGTTGGATGTGAGACCACCATCAATATGCAAGATCGTGCCGTTTATCATTTTCTCCATGTCACTCAGCAAGAACACCGTCCCATCCGAAACATCCGTGGGCTCTGAAAGACACCAAAAAGTGAATAAATACATATCTCATACAGAAGGTGTGTTAAGATGAATACTTTATGTACAATTCCACAAATGAAGCAAATTTTGTGAGCATGGGGATTTCTATCTTATTTTTGAGTGCTACGATTAATTTTGCGGTTAATGTTTGATTTAACCAAAACATTTGTGAAAAGAAAGAAAAAACATGTATATACATGTATAACATTTGTATAATAAATTTATTGATTTAACAATGATGTGCTTCGAGAATAAAAATCATTACCAGCAAAATGTCCAATTGGTGTTCGAACAAGATATTTCATGTGTTTCTGCGGGTCTTCCCAGGCTCGTCTGCCCTGGCATTTCTGTCATCACAATAGTTGGATGGATGGTATTGACACGGATCTAATTAAAAAAAAAAGTTTTAAAACAAGAGCCCGGTTTGAGCCGGGTGATGCTCCCCGAATAGGTTTTGGACACAGGAAAGTACACCTCTTGTAGTTTCAGAGTTATGTCCGTGGAAAAAGTTCAAAGTGCAATAAATTCCAAAATTAGGCCAAGGCAGAGTTACAGTTCTTTGCACTGCACTTCTAATCAATGTGATCTATCAACCTACAAAGTTTCTTGATGATATCTCTTATGATTTCCGAGTTATGTCCTGGACAATTCAAAAAGTAAAAATAAACAAAGGGCAATAACTCCAGAATTAGGCAAGGTAGAGTTATGATTCTTTTGCACTGCACATCTACCCATTGAGATTTATCTACCTACAAAGTTTCATGTTGATATCTCTTATAGTTTTACAGCTATGTCCTGGACAAGATTTTTCTAAAAGGGGAGATTATTCAAAAATAAGGCTTAACAGAGTTATGGTTCTTTTGCACTGCACCTCTACTCAATGAGATCTATCTACCTAGAATGTTTCATGTTGATATCTCTTATAGTTTTAGAGTTATGCCCCGGACAAGATTTTTCTATAAGGGGAGATAATTCAAAAACCAGGCAAAATAGAGTTATGGTTATCTGACACTGCACTCCCCTTCGATGCCCTCTACCACTGTATGAAGTTACAACAAATTATCTCCAAGGGTGTTCAAGTTATGTTCCGGACAAAGTTCAAGTTCAAAGTATTAAAATAAACAAAGGGCAATAACTCCAAAATTAGGACAAAAAGAGTTATTGTTCTTATGCACTGCACATCTACGCATTGAGATCTATTCACCTACAAAGTTTCATGTTGATATCTCTTATAGTTTTAGAGTTATGCCCCGGACAAAATTTTTCTATAAGGGGAGATAATTCAAAAACGGGCAAAATAGAGTTATGGTTCTTTGACACTGCACTCCCCTTCGATGCCCTCTACCACTGTATGAAGTTTCAACAAATTATCTCCAAGGGTTTTCAAGTTATGTTCCGGACAAAGTTCAAAGTATTAAAATTAACAAAGGGCAATAACTCCAAAATTAGGATGAAAAGAGTTATTGTTCTTATGCACTGCACATCTACCCATTGAGCTCTATTCACCTACAAAGTTTCATGTTGATATCTGTTATAGTTTTAGAGTTATGCCCCGGACAAGATTTTTCTATAAGGGGAGATAATTCAAAAACCGGGCAAAATAGAGTTATGGTTCTTTGACACTGCACTCCCCCTCGATGCCCTCTACCACTGTATGAAGTTTCAACAAATTATCTCCAAGGGTTTTCAAGTTATGTTCCGGACAAAGTTCAAAGTATTAAAATTAACAAAGGGCAATAACTCCAAAATTAGGATGAAAAGAGTTATTGTTCTTATGCACTGCACATCTACCCATTGAGCTCTATTCACCTACAAAGTTTCATGTTGATATCTGTTATAGTTTTAGAGTTATGCCCCGGACAAGATTTTTCTATAAGGGGAGATAATTCAAAAACCGGGCAAAATAGAGTTATGGTTCTTTGACACTGCACTTCCCCTCGATGCCCTCTACCACTGTATGAAGTTTCAACAAATTATCTCCAAGGGTTTTCAAGTTATGCTCCGGACAAGACAACGGACGGACAGACGGACGGACGGACAGACGGACAGACGGACAAGGCGCCGACTATATGCTCCCCCGAAATTTTTCGGGGAACATAAAAATCTTTATATACAAACTATTTTTCAAAATCAGGATCCATGCTGTTCGCTTACCAACCCTATTACAAGTAGAGAAACTGATAGCGAACAGCATGGATCCTGATCAGACTGCGCGGAAGCGCAAGCTGATCTGGATCCATGCTGGTCGCAAACGCATTACGTTGGTTTTGTCGTGACGCGGCTCAAATGTGGCCATTCTGTGACATGCTCTAATTGACAATATTTCAATTACTTTACACGTGCATTTACGACATGATAAATATTATGATATAAGCATATGCCAATAATTTGTCCTGGGTATTTCATTTAAATCAAAAGCATCCACACATTAAAATGAATTATAATCATATATGAAAACTAACAACGCGCGAAATCAGACATTTACCTGATGTGGTCCAAGTTCAAGTGCCATAACTCTTGTAAGTGTATCGACAGCACCCTTTGATGAATGTAACAGGGTCTTATTTTTAAGACCAGGTCTAAGGGACAATACTCTTGCTTTACTTTTAAATTTTATAATTTTGCAAAGGGAGACAAATCCGCCAGTCTTGTCTGATACTTGTCAAGGGAGATTACTCTATTGGTTCTTATGTTTTACATTGGTCAGTATTCTAAGAATTCAAATGATTGGTTCACGGATCGTTGGTTTTAAGCTATTTTTATGTCATGTGATTTCTTGGTAGGAAAAAGTCATTGTGTCTTTGTTATGTTGTAAAGAAGAGAGGTTAGAAAATAAGTGTGTGTTGTCAAGTTCTTTATTTGTATTTATCCCGACTGTTGCTAATGCTTTATTGTAAACATGTGGAATTGCATAATTGTGATTCTGTTCTATTTTGATTCAGTACATTTTTTGCGAAATTTGTAAATAAGTATGAGTTTCAGAATGACAATATCTATCAAATCACCTTTCATCTTTATTCACTATTAATGGTGTGATAGTCAGAGAAGTAATTATTAGATTTATGTACTACACTCATCCCTCAGATGGTAAGTTCATGTGTGATGTATTGTGTAATATATGTTAATTGTGCGTATAATTCCATAAGCTATGATATGATATTTAAGGACTGTTGCTGCAGTTTAAAGAACTGAATTGGCCACTAGACATGTTATTGATTATGTTAACATACGATATGATATTAATTCATGTAATGCATTGTTTCTACTTTATTTTACTTTATATTTACATATTGTTATATACTTATTGCAGAGTGTTGTTTGTACCTATAGAATCGACTTCTTATAACAACCTTACAGTAATTGAAGATTGGATTGCAACCTTAAAGCTGTTTGTTGAATTGATTTTAACAATCCCGAACTCATTTGACCCTCAGGGGCTCGGATAGCTACATATTAAATTGCGCCGAATCACCCCTTTTACATGAACAATATGACGTGTGCTCGGGGAATGCCACATTGGTCGTCATGCTTGAGATGTTAACAATAGCCCCTCCTTCTCCTCTCTTTATATCATTCCCTTGGCAACGACCTGAAATATATTAAACCACAATATAACAAATTATCTGAATTGCAAGTACAACTTTGAGAATTACTCTATTTGATATCACTTAATTTGTAAA